GGCTATGCTTGAAAATTTGATGGGTTCGATGCGTAAGACTCTCAGCAGCCTAAACACTCCCGCTGCCAAGGCGGCTGTGCAGCTACTTGAGGTTTTGGAGCCTCTTCTACTGGTTCTTCAGTAAGTGAACATGGCACTGATGTTCGAAGAACGCATGCGCCAGTCACTTGTTATGCAATGGAATGCTCGTGGCCTACGTGGCCATCTGTCAGACTTCTTACAATGGGTTTTTAAATATGAATTTCCTGTTATCGTTATATGTGAACCGAATATGGTTTCACCTTTTCGTATATCTGGATATATCCAGATTTGGTCCCGCAGTGATCAACGTACGAGCAAAGTTCTCGTTTGTATACGCCGTGATTTGACGTTCTTGAGACATGAAGTCGCGTCGCATATCAGCAATGATTACGTGAGCCTGACTATAACACATAAAAAGCGAACATTCTCCGTAATAGGAGGATACATACACCCAAGCGCACATATGGACTGCTTCCACCTGGGGACCATTCTTCAAGCAGCACAAAGGCCACACATTGTGATCGGCGATTTTAATGCACATCATCCTCTCGGGGGTAGCACTACAACGAATTATCGCGGAAATGATTTAGCCAATTTTATATATAACTATGGACTAAGCGTACTCAACGACGGATCACCTACATTTGTTCGTGGCACGTCCTACAGCAGCTGCCTCGACCTCTGTTTCGTTTCCAGAAATCTGTCTTCCGCATGTTGGTGCACAGATTTGGACACTCGCGGTAGTGACCACCTTCCAACCTATGTTCAGTTCAGGTGGTTTCGCCGCACGCACACACGCTACATCCGTCAAACCGACTGGACACTGTTCAAGGCATCTGTCAAGTCTGGCTGTGAGCACATGACTGATCCATCTGAGGTAGAGAACATCATTGCTTCTTCACTGCGTGACACAACCAAACAGGTTAACCTACCAATGCAGAGATCAGCAGTTGACTCCCATTACGAGGCCCTTCGTGCAATCCGTCGCCGTGCAAAACGCCAATACAGACGAACGAAGTCACCTTCAGACCTTTGCGCCTGTCGTCGAGCTCAACGACATGTTCTTCGGCATCTTCACAAGACTGACAGGCAACGTTGGAGAAATTTCTGTGGATCTCTGGACCCCAGGCAACCTCTATCTAAGATCTGGCGGGTGGTGCGAAGTTTGCAGACAACTCCCCAACAACGTCAACCATTTCAATTTGTTGCTCTACATCAGGGACGGACAGAAGTTGAGATAGCCAGTGACTACTGTAGCCTCATCGCGGACACCACTGATGGTCTTGCCACTACTTAGCTTCTTACTACCATTGCGCCTCCATCGTCTGACGAGCGCCTTGATGTACGTTTTACAATACATGAGTTTGACGCTGCGATTTCTGCCTCCCGCCGATCATCGGCACCAGGACCTGACGGAATCACGTATGTTGCACTCAACAATCTTGATACAGAAGCACGACGTATCCTGTTATCTCATTATAACACCTCATGGGAGTCACGAGAAGTCCCAGCTAATTGGAAATGTAGTCGCATTATTGCATTGCTCAAGCCGGGGAAGTATCCTTATGCACTTTCCTCCTACAGACCAATCGCGTTAGCCAGCTGCGTCGGAAAAGTGATGGAAAGAATGGTACTGGCACGATTAGAGTGGCTTCTAGAGAGCAACAACTCCTTTACTGCATTTATGAATGGCTTCAGAAGAGGCAGATCTGCCATTGATGGTGTGGTCGACTTGATCACCAGCGTTGAAGAGGAAAGAAGCCGACGCCGACTAGTGGCGGCGGTCTTCTTAGACATTAAGGGTGCCTACGATAATGTGCTACATTATGCGATCCTTGACGCACTGGAAGATTTCGACATCGGTGGACGACTGTACGCTTGGATTTTTAGCTACCTTAGGGACCGCACCATTTACATGACGACAAGTAACGGAGACACCGATCGATATAAGGTTCATCGTGGTGTTCCCCAAGAAGGAGTTTTCAGCCCGATCCTATTCAATGTCACAATGATCGGCCTAGCAGCAGAACTTCCCAGCACGGTGAAGATCACTGCATACGCTGATGACATATGCATTTGGGCATCCGGAACTACTCGTCCGCAATTGCGAGCTCGACTACAGCGTGCAGTGACGATCACATACAAATATCTACGACGTCAGGGGCTCACTCTTTCAATCGACCAATGCGCAGTGCTTGCGTTCACGCGCAAGCATATGTCTCAATACCCGATATTTATTAATGGGACAGCGATACCTGCTGTAACACACCACAAGTTCCTTGGGGTTGTCGTACACAGAGATCTATCGTGGACGAGGCATGTCGCAGTACTTAAATCTAAATTGAAGAGCTTGGCTCTCATTCTTCGCCACGTAGCAGGAGCAAGATGGGGCCCATCATAATCATCGCTACTTCAATTATACAATGCTCTATTTGTGGGATACATTCGATACAGCATGCCGGTGCTTTCCAATATGAGACCTAGTTGTGTGAAGACGCTAGAGAGTGTTCAAGCTCAATGCTTACGAAGATGCTTGGGTCTACCGCACTGCACTTCAACAAATGGGACAATCGAAGAGGCTCGGGCTTGTCCCATCAGTGTATACATGCTCTGCGAGCCACTTAGAGTTCACCTCCGATTACTGAGCAGACACAGACAGCACCCACTGTCAGTACTGCCCGCCACTCACCCAGATTGCATTTTCTCAAAAGTAATATCGCGGCATGAAAATATTATCCCATCAAGGTTTTCTCCGCCAAATGCCCCTGCAGTGCCTCCATGGGTTCCGCCTAAACCACCTATCTCTTTTACGATACCTGGAATTACGAAGAAGTCGCTCATTTCTTCTGTTGGCCTCGGACAACTGACCCTATATCACATTTATACAACGTACAGTGATTCTCTGCACGTGTACACCGACAGATCCACCACGCTAAACACCTCCGCCACAGCCTTCGTCATCCCAGACATGGATATCGCTCGACGATTCAAAGTGGACTATAAAACCACATCAACTGCCGCAGAGCTTGTCGCTATCCGAGAGGCAATAAGGTTTATTTCCGGAGAGAGACCTCGAGCCTGGACGATTTTCTGTGATGCCAAACCCGCTTTGCAAACCAATAATTGCATCATGAAGCAAGGTCCATATTACAGCTTGGCAATATAAATCACAGAACTTATTCAGGTGGCTTCAACAAATGGCCATCTTATAACTTTCCAGTGGATTCCCGCTCATTGCGGCGTGATGGCAAACGAAGAGGCAGACGCTGAAGCTAAAAATGCCTTAAGCAGTGCCCCTGAAGTACGCATTGCGTTTTCACGAGCTGACACGAACACCCTGCTTCGCTGCGTGATGCGCAGCTACACACTTCAGCACTGGACCAAACCGGAACGGCGACACCAGCGACTTCACAAATGGGACCCGGAAATGAGGTTCCGCATGCCTCCTAAATTGAAACGGCAACTCACAAGTATGATCCACCGCATTCGTCTTGGTGTAGCGTATACCAGACGTTACGCACATATCATCGGTCGCAGTGACACCGGTCCTAATTGTGAACAATGTGATGTGCCAGAAACACTTGAGCACATATTTTGTGTCTGCCCAGCATACGCACGTGAACGACAAACACTGATTTCTTCGACTGAACTATATCGCAGTAGGTCATTAACTGATGAGACCATGTTGGGCCCTTGGCCAGACACCAACAGTGCAACTGCGGTCACATGAGCAGTTATTACATTTTTAGAAACAACTGGACTACGTGCGCGGCTATAAAATGTGTCTCAGCTAGAAAGAACACTACATACTCACCTCTCTATCTCACCATCGTCATCCATTAATCTTTCTTTTCCCCTTTCCCTTCCCCCAGTGTAGAGTAGCAGGCTAGAGCAAGCTATCGCTCAGGCCGACCTCTCTGCCTTTCTGTAAATAAACTTACCTCCTCCTCCTACCTTATTAACATAAACTAACTCGTTCATATATTACAATGAAGGACACCAAAATTATCACCCTCATTTTTGCTTCCCCAAAGATTATCTTCATAACATATGGTTTCCCTTCATTTTCTCCTTGCTCTACGTTTTCATTTCTTTATTTTGTGTTTCACAATTTCTATTTCCGCACGCGTCTTGGCCGATCCTCCGTACTAGATTGTACCATTCTTCCGCAAATCATCATCACCACCTCTCTAATGGGCGCGTGGCGTATAAGAAAAGCGACTGCATCACGAAGACGAGAAAAACCATATGTGGGCACAGGTAAGATCTCACCTAACCTGACCTGACCTATCTCAGCATTTAAATATTTATATGCATTAAATCAAGCAACACAATTTCTTGGGTCATCCATATTATTTCTATAATATAACCTGCATTATATTCGAAAACTGCACATTATTTTATAAAACCACTCAATTCTTGGCCGATCCCCTACAGTGGGTAGGCGCCACGGGCAATAGGTGAACAAGAACAAGAACACAGGTGCGAAATTGACGCGACGTCAAGGTGAGGACGGCGTTTTCCTGCGTATTTAGTAACACTGAACAACGTGTTCATCCTGAATGTCGGTGCTTCGAGTCATGGCGAGCACCTAGGAGAACCGCATCTTAAGCTCGTTTGAGCAATGGCAATGTAAACTGAAACAATAGGCCTAAACGGAGATGTTCTTGCTTCTGTGCCACTGTGCTCTCAGCTGGGCACTCAGTCCTCGTGCTGTTCGTAGCACCACCGATGTAGACAGCTATAGAAGAACAGAGCCACCTAGAGAACTTTCGTCCGAACGCATGAACGGAGAGTTTATTTTAAAAATTGGGAACTTGGGTGTTTATCGAAGCACAAAGCTTCGCTCTTTAAAAAGAAAGTCTTTTCGAAGGGTATTGTAATACGGTGCGTAAACTGATGTGCGCGAGCGGCCTTCGTTTTGAATATTGGTGTGCTGTTACGCAGTATCCCTTCCGGTCCGACCGGCGGCGGAAGTCATGGCCTCCGTGACCACTGTTTTGGACCCGCCCCGAACGCAGATTACGACGTCCGTCTCACAAATGTCCACACTGCTCGAGTGCCCCGTCTGCGGGAATTATGCGCTGCCTCCTATCATGCAGTGCGAGAACGGCCATCACCTGTGCGCCCCGTGCCGGAAAAACGTCGCCATGTGTCCAGTGTGCCGTGCTCCCAAAGGTGAGCTGAGGCATATTTTAAGCGCAATTGTTATGCCCTTCATAACAGTATCGGGGGCAAACACAAGACAACAGACAAGTGATAAGACACTTGTCTGCTGTCTTGTGTTTGCGTTCAGTGTCAATATCAACGACACATTCCAACTCGCTCGACAAGCAACGTTGTTGTGTAATTGTGCCCATGCACAAATGAATAATAATGCATACACAAGTCCTGTAGTCATTTGAAACAAGTTTTTTAAAATGCGAGAAACTCATCAAACGTGAAAATTCACAGTTGGTGTCGGCGGCGTCCACAAGAATGATGTGAAAATTCATCACGTGATGTCCTCCCGGTAAGACGCCATAGTGACGTGAAAATCGATAGGCTACCTGGACTGGTTGGTCTTGTATTCTTCCAGAAATATACTTTCTTTCTGCGCAGAAAGTTTGGAAAAACAGTTCAGATTGGACAGAGTTCAGTGACTTATCTGATTTTTTTACGAAAGGTTTTGCGCCAAAAAAAGTCAATTCCCTTTAGCATAACGCAGCAGATTGCTAAAACTTGTGACGCGATGATGACATAATCACGCAACATCGTCGCTTGGGCATAGATGGGCCAATCATGGAGGCCAAGCGAAACTAGATGAGGCGCGGAAACTTGCAATGCCTCTGATCCTGGAATCAGTGCAGAACTATCCCTGGTGCAGTAAGCTTTCGGCAGGTGGCGGCGGAAGATCAGGTGGCAACTGAGAAGAAAAAACAATGTAGCTTTCGCCTTCGACAAGAACCATGTGATTAATTTAGCTTATGTACAACTTCATTTTCGTCTTGCTTTTTACTCACTGCAACTTTGTTTAAGTAATACGTTGAAAGCAGTTCTGACAGCGGTGCAAACACCCGCAGACTTCCTCAACGCCTATCTTCCTTTAGAAGGTGTCCACTATTCTTTTCAATCAATCAATCAATATATCAATCAGTCAATCAAATTTTCTACTGATTCATAACACGATGTCCATGACGGAGAAACACAGGAGGTCCCACAGCATACAGCGTAATAGAATATTCTACGCAATTTAAACACAAATACATAAATAGCAATGAAACTAGCAAAAATTGTAAGATTACAAAATTATACATCATCATCATCATCAGCCTGACTACGTCCACTGCAGGACAAAGGCCTCTCCCATGTTTCGCCAGTTAACCCGGTCCTGTGCTTGCTGCTGCCAATTTATACCCGCAAACTTCTTAATCTCATCTGCCCACCTAACCTTCTGTCTCCCCCTAACCCGCTTCCCTTCTCTGGGAATCCAGTCAGTTACCCTTAATGACCAGCCGTTATCCTGTCTACGCGCTACATGCCCTGCCCATGTCCATTTCTTCATCTTGATTTCAGCTATGATATCCTTAACCCCCGTTTGTTCCCTAATCCACTCTGCTCTCTTCTTGTCTCTTAAGGTTACACCTACCATTTTTCTTTCCATTGCTCGCTGCGTCGTCCTCAATTTAAGCTGAACCCTCTTTGTAAGTCTCCAGGTTTCTGCTCCGTAGCTAAGTACCGGCAAGATACAGCTGTTATATACCTTCCTCTTGAGGGATAGTGGCAATCTACCTGTCATAATTTGAGAGTGCTTGCCGAATGTGCTCCACCCCATTCTTATTCTTCTAGTTACTTCAATCTCGTGGTTCGGCTCTGCGGTTATTACCTGCCCTAAGTAGACATAGTCTTTTACAACTTCAAGTGCACTATTACCTATCTCGAAGCGCTGCTCCTTGCCGAGGTTGTTGTACATTACTTTTGTTTTCTGCAGATTAATTTTAAGACCCACCTTTCTGCTCTCCTTGTCTAACTCCGTAATCATGAGTTGCAATTCGTCCCCCGAGTTACTCAGCAATGCAATGTCATCGGCGAAGCGCAGGTTACTAAGGTATTCTCCATTGACTCTTATCCCTAACTGCTCCCATTCTAGGCTTCTGAAAACCTCCTGTAAGCACGCGGTAAATAGCATTGGGGAAATTGTGTCCCCCTGCCTTACACCCTTCTTGATTGGTATTCTGTTGCTTTCTTTATGAAGCACTATGGTAGCAGTTGATCCCCTGTAGATTTCTTCCAGAATGTTTATATATACTTCATTTACGCTCTGATTCCGCAGTGTTTGCATGACGGCTGATATTTCTACTGAATCAAACGCCTTCTCGTAATCTATGAAGGCTATGTATAGTGGTTGGTTATACTCTGAGCATTTCTCTATTACCTGATTGATAGTATGAATGTGGTCAATTGTTGAGTAGCCTGTTCGAAATCCTGCTTGTTCCTTTGGTTGATTGAATTCTAATGTTTTCTTTACTCTGTTAGCAATTACCTTTGTAAATAGCTTGTATACTACAGAGAGCAAGCTGATCAGCCTGTAATTCATCAAGTCCTTGTCATCTCCTTTCTTATGTATTAAGATGATGTTAGCGTTCTTCCAAGACTCTGGCACTCTTCCCGTCAGGAGACACCTCGTAAACAGGGTGGCTAGTTTTTCTAACACAATCTGTCCTCCATCTTTCAGCAAATCTGATGTTACCTGATCCTCACCAGCAGCTTTGCCCCTTTGCATGGCCTCCAAAGCTTTTCTGACTTCTTCTATCCTTACTGGTGGGGTGTAATCTGGGTTACTGCTAGTTCTTATAGTATTAAGGTCGTGGTTGTCTCGGCTACTGTACAGATCTCTGTAAAACTCCTCCGCTATTTTAACTATCCTATCCATATTGGTAGTTATTTTGCCTTCTTTGTCCCTTAGTACATACATCCGACTTTTGCCTATCCCAAGTTTCCTCTTCAATGCTTTGACACTTCCTCCGTTTTTCAGAGCGTGTTCAATTCTCTCCATGTTATACCTTCTTACATCGCATACCTTACGTCTATTAATCAACTTCGAAAGCTCTGCCAGTTCTATTTTGTCTGTTGTACTTGACACTTTCATGATTTGACGCTTCTTAATTAGGTTCTTCGTTTCTTGGGAAAGCTTGCCAGTGTCCTGTCTAACTACCCGGCCTCCAACTTCCACTGCACACTCCGTAATGATACTCGTCAGATTATCATTCATTGTATCTACGCTAAGGTTGCTTTCCTCACTAAGAGCCGAGTACCTGTTCTGCAGCGACACTCTGAATTTCTGTACTTTCCCTCTCAGTGCTAGCTGATTGATTGGCTTCTTGCGTATCAGTTTCTGTCGTTCCTTCTTCAAGTCTAGGCGAATTCGAGACCGTACCATTCTATGGTCACTGCATCGTACCTTGCCAATCACTTCCACATCCTTAACGATTCCAGGGTGTGCACTCATTATAAAGTCTATTTCGTTCTTATTTTCGCCATTAGGGCTCCTTCATGTCCACTTGCGGTTTTCTCGTTTTCGGTAGGAGGTATTCAAAATCCGTAAATTATTGCGTTCTACGAATTCTACTAGTAGCTCTCCTCTGGCGTTTCTAGTACCTATGCCATAATCTCCTACTGCCTGGTCTCCAGCCTGCTTCTTCCCTACCTTTGCATTAAAGTCGCCCATCACTATAGTATATTGTGTTTTTACCTTACTCATTGCCGATTCTACGTCTTCATAGAAGCTTTCAACTGAAGCGTCATCATGGCTGGATGTAGGCGCGTAAGCCTGTACTACCTTCATTTTGTATCTTTTATTCAGTTTAATTACAATACCTGCCACCCTTTCATTAATGCTATAGTATTCCTCTATGTTGCCAGCTATGTTTCTGTGAATTAGGAACCCCACTCCCAGTTCTCTTCTGTCTGCCAAGCCCCTGTAGCAAAGGACGTGCCCATTCTGTAGCACCGTATAGGCCTCATCTGTCCTCCTAACCTCACTGAGCCCTATTATATCCCATTTAACACCCTCTAGCTCCTCGAATAGTACAGCTAGACTTCCCTCACTAGATAAGGTTCTAGCGTTAAACGTTGCCAAGTTCAGGTTCCAATGGCGGCCTGTCCGGATCCAGAGATTCTTAGCACCCTCTGCTGCGTTGCAGATCTGACCGCCGCCGTGGTCAGTTGCTTCGCAGCTGCTGGGGACTGAGGGCCGTGAGTTATTTGACGTAAGCATGTGGGAGGTAGTGGCCAGATACTGCACCAGGGTGGCCAATTCTTCTCTGGTGAGGGAGTGCGTTCTTGGCGGTGTTTGCCGGCGAGGCCGCACCCCAGGCCTCCTAATGCAGTTCCATCAACACGCGGATTTTTTTTTTGTTTTTTTTAAATCCGGTTGGGAACTGCGCGGTACCGGGATTTGAACCACGGACCTCTTGCATGCGAGGCAGATGCTCTAACCACTACGCCATCGCTGCGTAGTGGTTATTAAATTATACATATATAGATACAACGAAGCGACGATGTTATTTCTATATGTCATCGGTAATCGTCATCGGTAATGTGTCATGGGTTCTGTGAGAGCTAACCGTTTATCGGCAAGGTTTCTTTGTCGACTAATGTGTGTTTGCACTTGCTGATTTTCCCTAACGTTGGCTGAATTCGGTTAAACGATGGCGATTACTGTCGAATATTGACTGTATTATATATGAAAACGGACAGATAATGAAGCCAGGGAAGGTATATTGGACCTTGAATGTATTCTTTTAACACTATCGTAGTAATTATGACACTAATTTGAAGAAAGTAAACGGCACGAAAAGAAAACTTGCCGCAGAGAGGCATATCCACCGTATTCAAAAGGTGAAGTAAACAATACAAACACAAGGGAAACATAGTTGAATCGATGCTCCGCAGATCATCGAGGCTTGACTTGGTGTGGAACTTGTTTTGAGTTTTTGCTGCTAAGGCCATATTATTATAAGGAAACAAAACGTCCCCAACGTATCTTAGATTCGCCCGTGCACTGTTATTTCGCGTTCAGGGAACAACAGAAACTTGGCGCTGGAGAAGCTGGCCGAATCCACGTTGTTTCCCTGCAAGTATCGCTCCAAGGGTTGCACGACGTCTCTGCTGATCGCTGAAAAGAAGAGGCATGAAAATTCCTGTGAGCGCGGGTAAGCAGTCGCGTCGCAGTTCATCTTTTAAGGCCTGACCCCACATATCCGTCGCAGCGCGTCGGCGCACTTCCATTTGACGTGGTGTCGAGCACTTTCCCATACGGAGAGAGAGAGCATGCGGCTTCACGTAGCCACACTCCGGCGCGCCGCCGCGTCTAAGAGCCTCGCGCTGACGTGCTGCGAGGGATACGTGGGGTCAAGCCTTTAGAGCGCAGAGATGAGCGCGGGATTTCTACCATTTGGCAACGACGTTCATGGCATGTTCCGGATAATTTATTCAGCAAATCATGAATTATGCCACTCTGTTAGCCCATTACTTAATTTATTGAAAAAACATTGGCCCTGTGTCTGCATATTTCACTGCAATTGTCATCGAAGGACGATAGTCGTGCCTCTGGAGACAGTGAACAAAACATTTATTTGATTTTCTGCGCAGAAAAATCAGTGAATTGTATTCTCGAAGCTCTGCGTTAGAAAGTCTCTATCCCTGCAGCGAAGGTGAACGAGCGCATCGAGGCACGTTAGGCACGAGCGCTATCTGGCAGTTATCTTCGAAAACGAAGGAAGGCGTGCGCGCGCACGGAGAAAGATGCACGCCTGTCTCGGAGGCGATAAGGTGTAGAACACAAAGCGACGGGCAGGTGCCAACACCACGTCGTCTTTGCAAAGTTTTGAAAACACTTGCGTTTTTCAGCATCCTGTAGCTCTGTCATCGCAGCGTGATGAACGCTATGGTCCATAAAATTACTTATGTGTGCCTTTTCTAGTATGGCGCCACACATACAAAATATTGACGTGCTCTTATGCTGCCTCAGATATGCACACTGATTGCTTTTTAATTGACAATCGCACAAGTATTAACGCTGAAGAGTGAGCGCTGTGGATTGGGTTGACTGTTGATTGGGTTGACTATTGGTGGGCGCTGTGGATTGTTTGGTACCGTTAGAGGTATCGTTACGGCGGACACACATATAAATGTACAGACAGACAGACAGACAGACAGACAGACAGACAGACAGACAGACAGACAGACAGACAGACAGAAGGATAGACAGACAGACAGACAGACAGACAGACAGACAGACAGACAGACAGACAGACAGACAGACAGACAGACAGACAGACAGACAGACAGACAGACAGATAGATAGATAGATAGATAGATAGATAGATAGATAGATAGATAGATAGATAGATAGATAGATAGATAGATAGATAGATAGATAGATAGATAGATAGATAGATAGACAGACAGACAGACAGACAGACAGACAGAAATTTTTGAGTGGGAAGACTATCGATCGTCTTTAAAACGTTACTGTTGGGCTTGCACTCATGTTGTTCTGGTCGACTAAAATCCGTACTGAAAAGTGAGAACACGGTGAATTTAGATTTGTTGGTAATTTAACTTGTCACTTCAACTGTTATAAGATAACTGTATTTGAAGCATGCACGTACACACCAGCGTCGATGTTGTTGGCACAATCTCGTGCTACTAAATCTTACTGGAAGGAGACATTGTCATGACTTTAATAGCATTTCCTACCAAAAATTGTTTCTGTTGGGTTCTGCCAAGATCTAAGTGACGTATTTCTGTCACGAACACAGTAGCTTACGGAGGAGAAAAAAATTTCTATAAGTCGCACCTTTGGGAGTCCAAGCAATGACTTTTCAGTCCGTGACGATAACGGTCTAGGGCTATTGAAGCACACGCATGACACTCCACAAACATGTCTTATAACTCCCACAAATTCTCTATACGATGCTTTCTGATGGAAGGGCTGACTTGTTTTTTGTCGTCAATAAGCAAACTGTAGAATAAGGGCGACGGGGTTTCAACGCTTGTTTGCAGCATTCTTAAAGTGATTGACTGGGCCTTCGAGAGTTGCGGGAGCGGGAACCTGCGCCTGGTCATTCGGCAGTGCTTACATATTTCGATAAAAAGGCCGGAGGAGAGAGAATCAAGTGGCCGGATGCTTTTACCTGATGCATATGTGCCACTTTGCGTCAACGTGGGTGCATGCACGCAACTGGTGCTATATCTGTCAAACACCAACAGGCGTACAAGCTATTATGTATGACTGCATGTAAGCACTGCTTCTGTCAGGACACGTTGCACTTTCGTGTTAAACTGGTTCCTAAGATGGATGAATTAGCCGTGTTTAATATTAATTTAATGGAAAGTAATGTACATTTGAGGACTTGTTTTTCGTGTTCTAATACATTGATGCCAAGGAAAGTATTGGGGAAGTATTTAACTTTGAATGTCGCAGGTTCAGTTCGTGTTATTCGAAGGTGGCCGGTTCGGTTCCTGCCCACGGCAATTATCTTTTCACCCTTTTTTTGTTCACATTTATAATACGATTGTGTCTGATAGCTTCCCCTATACTTTCCTTGGCATATATATATATATATATATATATATATATATATATATATATATATATATATATATATATATATATATATATATATATATATATAGTGAGCACAAGTGAATGACTCTTCATTCTCTTTAGATATCATCATCACCTGTGCATCTTCATCATCTGTAAATATCAGCACCAGTGTTTAGCTCGAGCCTGGCTGAATAAACCGGTTCCTCACTATATATTGCCACAAGGCAGTAGTGGGATTGGGGCATAAAGTGGTAGAGGGTCCCTGCCTGAAAGAAAAGACTACGAAGTGGATAGAGACTGGTCCCAGCCCGCCAGTTTGCCAGGCATTGTCGTCGCGTGTAAACGTCGTAAACTAAACATCTACAAATATACGTTTCCTTGTAAATATATATATATATATATACATATATATATATATATATATATATATATATATATATATATATATATATATATATATATATATATATATATATATATATATATATATATATATATATGATGGAATGGATGGTTTGTAGAAGCAGAGAAGGAAGAAGTCAGAATAGAATAAACATGGGTATGAGCTAGGCCACGTCGCCAATACATCATAGCGTCACACGAGTCGACAGGATGAAGACCTGGCGGCCACTTCATCAACCAGCCACCATCTTCGAACGTCTCAGCAAGACGCAGTGACCGAACGTGGACCACAAAAGTACATCCCAACTCTACACCAAGACCAGCACCATGACAGCACCTTGACATCCTCAAGTGCACCGGATCAGCGGACGACGGACCCGTACAGGACTGGTTCAACCTTTTCTAGTTCCACGCTGCCGCTGCATCCTGGTCGGAACGGGAGATGATCATAAACTTTACTGACTACATCTCAGGTGAGGCATTGAAGTTTTACCTCACCCACATCTTCGAGAACGTTGAGTCTTGGAAAAAGATCAAAGAAGAAATGATCAGCCGTTTCAAGGAATACGATGAGGACTTGTCCATACCTCATCAGGTGAAGGCTTTTCAACTCAACCATCACAGTTACGCGACGTCTTCCCGCAGTAAGCGTATTTCTCAAAGAAGACTTGAGAGTAAATATCCCACCATTTTACCATCATATGACTCGTCCGTATACACTTCACGCAATACAACACCAACTAGGGACTTGCACGTCGCATCATAGAAGGTAGTGCCACCGTATGCCAATAGGAATGTAGACCATTTTGCCAAGAGAGCGAACCTATGGTTGGATTCTTTACGGGCAAATAAATTGGCATTTCCAATGTATTTACGGCATCATAATACTTCAGGGATTACTGAACAAACCGAATCACTTGATGTTTCGTGTCGCACACATGGCTCAGACGGCTTCGGACGCGTGACGGCATTTACGATTGACGAGTTAGTAAATCCGCATGAAACCAAACCAGACAACGAATGTTCACAGAAATCTCATTTGTTTAATGTATTCAGCTCAGTAGTTCCACAAACACAGAAACATTCACAATCAGCATCTTGTGAAGAAAAGTGTTCTGCAGAAGTGTTGAGTGTTCATCAATCACAAGATCGAAGCGACGTGAATCCAGTACACAACCTCACTGCCTATAATGAAAACAAAACCGCAGGTGCGACTTCTGATGACATATATACGCTTCAGGCAACCACCAACAATGAACGGCTTATAAATACAGATGATTCAAGTGCACCAAACCCGCCACATTATCTTGCGCCGGAAACAGTTGCATTAGTTGGCGCCGTATAAGCCTGCGGAGGACTCGCTAAGAATCCTGGCGCAGCACGATCAACGTCACACCATAAGCAAGTTGACGAAACCAAGAAACTACAACGTCAACGTATACTTCAACATTGTCAACGACGAAACAAAACTTCATCGAGTGCACTCTTAAGGCTTAAAGAACATTGCAAAAAGGCCCATCGTGGTGAATACATTCTCCACCAAAGATCAAGAATGTGCCTTCCATCAAGACATCTGCGACATCGCCATAGAAAAATCTCCAAAAGCCACAAAAGCACCCATTCTACTCGGCAGAAACCAGGCAGCGCCCAATCGA